CATGGAGCTTACATTTTTACTGTAATATATAATTAGTTATAATGTAGTCTTAAAAAGTAACATAATTTGTATCTATTAGTAGCCTGGAACAATAACTGAAGTCACATATCCTTCTAATAATATATATTTACTTAGACTAGAACTTGAAAATTTTTAAGTGTTTGTTTTTCTTTAATATGACAAGACAAACAGAAAAAGGAATAAACACCAATTTTGCTGAAATCAGAAATATCTACTGTTAATACTTTGGTGTATTTTTCATTTTCTGTGTACACATAAAATATGAGTTTAAGATGTGTAATTTGTCTATAAAATTGGATTTAAATTTTTTTTACTAAGTGTTTAGTTTTATTGGATGTATAATTAATTTTATGAAAACATAGTTTATATATTTAGGTTATATCCTATATTTTACAAGTACTGCCTTCTGCCAATTTCTTTTAGCTAAATATTACCAAACACCTTTAGTTCTGTTATTCCAAGTTTATTGTGAAAATCATTAAATATTGATATATGGAAAATATGAAAAAAAATTAATATGATCACCCACATACTCTCTTCTTAGATTGTATAGTTAATATTTAAGTGTGCATACTTAGCATATATATATCTAATCATTCTTTAGCTCTTAAGTTAATTTTTTAGTTAACATTTAGAAGCTGAGTCATGCTTTTTCAGGAAAATTTTATAAAATTTTTTTCATTTATTATAAGTATCCCTTAGGGGAGACTTTTAGTACTAATTGATACTTTACCCCTGGTATATTAGCATATTTTGAAGCCTTCCAACATTGGGTTTTATTGTTGTTAATGTACTTTTTCTGAAAGATTTTTGACATATAGTTTGTTAATAAAATAAGTTATTTACTCTCTAAGATGACTCTCTTCATGTGTAATATGCATAAAAGAACATTTATTTATAATTTGCTTTGGTCATTTAATGTACACTGTAGATTTTGAAAAGAAATGTATGAAGGAATGAATGGGAAATTTAAAAAGGCAGGAACTTCTGAACTATGAGGCAAATAAAATTCCATTCAAAAAAGATAGAGACAAAGACAGATATTATATAAAGTTAAAGAGAACAATACAACAAGAAGACATGTCGCATACCAAGTACGTGCACCCCAAATTGCAGCAATAGAATATAACAAATATTAGCAGACCTAAAAGATTTGTTAACAGCAACACAATAATAATAGGGGACTTTAACGCTCCACTTAAAGCAATAGATAGATCTTCCAAAGAGAAAGTCACTCTCTGGAAATTATTATAATTTGGAAATGGTCTTAGTGAAAGAAAATACTAACCTTAAATGATAAAAGAGATTTACTTAATGGCAATTTACAGATCTTCCCATCCTCAAAATAAAAAATTAACACTGTTTCCAACAGAAGAAAAGAAATTTGCTCCACATATTACTGAAAAACTGCTGGGTCAATAAGGAAATTAAAGATGAAATAAAAAAATAACTGGAGATGAGTAAAAATGAATTGACCAGAACAAATAGGAGGTAGAAAAAACAGTACTGAAAGGGAAGTTTATAACCATGCAGACTCAACTCAGGAAATAATCATAAATAAGAAACCCAAGTTTTGATCTGAAGGAACTGTAAAAAGAAGAAAGCAAAATGAAAAGTCAGCAAGCAAAAGGATATAATAAAAGTTAGGACAGAAATTAAAATGAAATGGAAATCATAAAGTCAATCCTGAAGTTCAGTGAGCTGATACTTTGAGAATACTAATAAAATAGATTCACAAAGAAGAAAAAACACAAAATCAGGAAGGCAAGAGAGATTACCACAAATACTACAGAAATATAAAAGATCATAAAGTATCACAAAAAAAATAGGTCTCCTACTCAAATTCTCCCATTAAATTGAAAAGGAGGCAAAATTTCCCAGTATGCTTTATGATGCCAATATTAGTGTGATTCTGAAATCACACTATATTACAAAAAGAAAAATCACAGAGCAGTGTTCCTGATTAACATAGAATAAAAAATACCCCACAAAATTGTGGCCATTTATCAAGCAACACATTATCATATATTATAATTAAGTGGAATTTATTGCAGAGATGCAAGGACAGTTGACCATATAAAGAAAATAAATGTGCTACATGACATCAACACAAGGGAGGTGAAAAAATCTTTTGATCATTTCCAGAATGCAAAAAAAAAGCATTTTTAAGAGTAAGAATGCTTTTATAAAAACTCAGTAAAGTGGATATAGAATGAACATACCTCAACATAATAAAAGGTATGTAAACCCACAGCCAACATCATATTCAATGGTGAAAAACTGAAATCTTTTCCTCAAAGGTCAGGAACCAGACAAATGTCACCACTACTATCTGGTATGTTATGCTGGAAGATTCAAGAGCAATCAGGCCAAAAAAAAAAAAAAAAAAAGGATAATAAGCTATGCAAGTTGGAAAGAAGGAAGAAGAAAATGATCACCATTTGTAGGTGATGCACACAGAAAATCTCAGTCTCCAGTAAAAATCTATGAGAAATAATGGGTAAAGCAAAATGGTGGGCAACAAAATTAATATACAAAAGAAGTTTTGTGTTTCTATATGCAAACCATGCACTAGGTGAAAGAGGTATCAGGAAAAGAGTTGCACTTATAATTGTATGAAAAAGATATATTGGAATAAATTTAAACATACACGTGAAAAACCTGTGTATTGAAAACTCTAAGGCAAAACTAAAATATACAAAGAAATGGTACTTATTCAATGTTCATGAATGAAGGAATCAACAATGTTAAAATGGGCATATTACCTAAGACAATATGCAGATTTAATATGATACCTGACAAATTTCTAGTGGTATTCTTCACAGAAACAGGAAAAAAGACCCATTTATTTGGAGTAACAGAAGCTCTTGAATAGCACAATCACACCTGAAAGGGGGTAAAACATATTCTCTGACTTCAAATGTTACTACAAAATTACGGTAATTTAAACTGGTTGGTATTGGAATAAAAACAGGTGCATAGATAATTGGATTAAAAATGAGATCCCTGAGTTGACTCAAAAAACTTTAATGGAGTTAATGGAGCAGGAAAATATATTCAATAAGTGGAGTGGGGGAAACTGTACAAATACAAAAGAAGTAAACCAGAACACTAACAACATACACAAAAATTCAGAATGGGTTGATGACTTAGACGTAATACCTGAAACCGTAAAAAACATAGCAGAAATATCTGTGATAAAACTCCTTGACATTGGCTTTACAGATGCGTTGGGGGACTTAACATCAATGGTAAGAGAAAGCAAACAAGCAAATTGGTATGTCGAAGGCAAAAACTTTTGCAGTGAACAAAACTTGCAAAAAAAGTGAATTCTGCTGAAAGGTAGCAGACATTTGTACATGTGACAGAAGGTTAATATCTAAAATACACAACTCATAAAACTCAGTGAAAAAACATGATTAATAAATGGGTAGAGGATCTGAATAGATACTCTCAAGAAAGCATACATTTAGCCAACAGGCACATGAAAAGGGGTTCATCTGCTAAATGATGAAATCAAAGCAATTAAGTTATTACCTCATTGCTATTGAAATGTCTACTATCCAAGAGAAAAGAAGTAATAAATGGAGATGATGAGAGAAGGGAACCATTATGCATTGTTGGTATATATTGGTGCAAGCAGTATACAAAGCAGTTTGGAAATTCCTCAAAACAAAGTACTATTAAAAACACTTATGGATAGTTTACTAAAAAATTCAAAACTAATTTGAATAGGTGCTGCATCTACATATTTATTGCAGCACTATTCACAGTACCCCAAAAGTGGAATAAAACCTCACTGCTCATTGACTGATGAATAAAGATGATGTGGTTTATATGCACAATAGAGTCCTATTCAGTTATATATTCTAGTATGTGTGTAATATATACGCGATGAAATATTGTCAGTTGGAACTACATGTATGGACATGGAATTAGGCTTATGGAAATAAGCCAGACAGAAAAAGACAAACCTAAGATTTCACTCTTTTATGGTATGTAGAGAAAACAGATGAAATAACTACAATAAAATAACACTTGTACTATAAAGTGCAATTAATGGTTACCAAAAGGAAAGGAGAAGAGGCATAGGTAGACTGGGGGAAATTGTATAATTGTATATAGATTTGGACTAACTCATTTCAGTAAATACACATTTTAATTTTCAACTACAACCGCCTGAAACTTGTAATGCAATGCAGTGCTATTTTAAGTTAAAAAAAAGTTGGGGACAGCGAAGAACAGATGAAATACATAGTTAAAAGGATATATTTGATATGAAAAGTGGAAAATTAGAAATTGTGTAATTTGTTCTTTGTGATACTTACTGTTTTTTAATGGGGACATTGTACTTATTCTGTAATTACTTAAAGGATAGTTGAGATTTTATTTTTCTACTTATTTCTCCCACACTCTTCCTCCCTCTTCTCTCCTGGTTGGGATTTTAATCAGGAGACCACTTGTTCTTTTGAATTCAGTTTGTAGATTATAGTCTGGGAGGATGCACTCTAGCTGGAATAGTAGCTGTGGTATTCAGACTTTTTTCTCTTTCACAAAGTAAATGAGCTGATTGAGAAAAATGATTAATTGAAATAATCAGCAATAGAAGTAGAATTTAATTAGTTAAACATTGGGTCTTTGTCTTTTTTGACATTTGTTTTATTCCTTTGACCTGAGTCCCATTCAGTGTATCCCTAAAACTAATTAATGACTCCAGAGAAATAGAGATATGATTTAGAAGTTTTATTAGGCACCCTAGGTGGATATACGTTGTGTGAGTTTGCTTAAGAAAGTAGATTAAAAGGTGAAAAGGCTTATACAATACTGCTATAAATGAGACTGCTTCTGTTTTTAATTATTAAAAGTGATTCATAAATAATTGTTGATTTGGTATGACTTCAAAAATTTACATGAAATTCCACTTGAAATATGTTATATTGGTTATTTCTAGGTATTCAACCAAATCTCTTTGTTTACAGCTGGGCTCAAAATGCAGAGAACTCAAAGATATTCACTTTGGCCAGTGTTACAAGATTTCAGATGAAGGCATGATTGTTATCGCCAAGGGCTGTCTGAAATTACAAAGAATATACATGCAGGAGAACAAATTAGTAAGTACTTTTTATAATCATGGTTTTAATTAGTTTCTAACCTTTGAATTCTTTTAACTTAGCTTATAAATTTTCTTTTGTGTACTTTCTTTTGGTGGTATAGGAAGAAATATTTAAAAAACGAGTATCTTCTCAAATCAGTGACCCTATGAATTGACTGTCCTAACTACATAGATATTTCTGTGTAATACTTTCAGAATCCCTCATTTCCAAATGCTTTTTAAAAAATCTTCCTAAATTCTGACAGTGAGCAAACACATGTGTAATTCATGTTCACATCTAAAGTGTTATATGTAATATACTTAAAACCATTTAAGTTTTTTTTATTCAGCTCAAATTCACATAAATTTCGTCCTTGTAAGATGGTTTAGTGTATTTACAACTTGGACTATCATCTCCAATTCTAGAACACTTTTATCACCTCAAAGAAAAATCTGGTGTCCATTAGCTCTCACTTCCATCTCCCTTTTCCTCTAGCCTCTGACATCTGATAATCTACTTTCTTTCTCTGAATTCACATATATCATGTGTTTTTTTATATGTAAATTAACATTTTCAAGTTTTATCCTGTTCGTTTACTTTCCTTCTCCATCACCTTCCTTTCCTTTCCTCCTTCCTTTCTTTTTGCATCATTCTTCATTTTATGCATTTTTCCATCTTGGTTGTAATCCCAGTGGACTTCCCACCACCAATTCACCTGTGAGCCATCATCATAGTTCCGTGTACCTTTCCCACCCTATTTTTGATCCCATTCCCCTCTCCATCCCTGTAAAATGTCTCTGGTATATAGGTGTTCATTGTTTTTTTGTTTATTTCTTTATTACAATTGATCCCCAACCGGATCCCTTATGCTCCTGCTATGAGTGGAAACATTTGGTATTTTTCTTTTTCTTTCTGGCTTATTTCACATGATCCCTTCTAGCTCCATCCATGTTGCCACAAAAGGCATGCATTTATCTTTTTTGATTGCTGAGAAATATTCCACTATGTACATGTACCATATCTTTTTAATCCAGTCATCTACTTTTGGACATTTGGGTTGATTCCATGTCTTTCCTGTTGTCAATAGAGCAGCAGTAAACATGGGGGCGCAGGTGTCCTTTTGAATCAATGTTTTTGTGTCCTTTGGGTAGATACCTGTGAGTGGGATTGCTGGGTCTTATGGAAGCTCCATTTTCAGCAGTTTGAGAAGCCTCTAAACAGCTTTCCATAATGTTTGTACCAGTTTGCATTCCCACCAGCAGTGTAGGAGAGTTCACAAGTTTTATCCTTTATGGCCGAGTAATATTCTAAATCCAGTTCATTTTGTTTGATAGGTGCATAGTACAGGTTGACAGAATAAGTTATCACTAGGGTGGTACTGTTAGAGTTTTAGTATACTCTAAAATGTATGTAAGGGAGTCCTGAATGTGTAGCATATTTACAAAGGATAGAGAATGTATTTTAATTATGTCTAGCAAGTAAAGTGATGTCTTTGTTGCCTCTTATAGTTGATGTAATTTGATAAATACATCTTATATATTAATACAAGTTTGAAAGATCTTTTAAAAACACTAGAACTTCAAGTGAGATACTATTTTAGAAAAGATTCTTGTTGGAAAAATTGAAACACAATGAATTAAAAGTAAATGCTTTCATTATCATACAGAATTATACTTTTCTCTAAAATATTAGTAAACTACTTCTCACTTGTCTTTATATTTAATACAAATTTATTAATTACATTACAGGCAGTATGATTTTGTAGCTAGAATAAATCTGGGTCAGAGAGACTGTTTTGAATCTTAGTTCTACTCACTTAAATTGGTACTGTGAGAAAGTTACTTAAGCTCTCTGAACCTCATTTGCAAGTGGGGTTTTTATTGCTTGTCTTTTGGTAGATTGAGTTCTGAGCATTAAAGGATATAATGTTCTTAAATTGTCAAGTACAAACTTCCCTATAGAGGACTTTAGTTTTTATGAGATCATTACTGCATTTGCTGTTGGTTTTTACTTTGCACTCAAGATAAACTAAAGCATGGTAATGAAAACAATTTGCATAACTCACATAATGAAAACATTCATTGATTGAGAAATATTTATTTTCTTGCTGCATAAACACAGAGACATGTTTTTCGTGATACAGTAAAAATTTTACTTTGTATTTTCTTGAAGGAATAGTCTGTATGTTGAAGATTCTAGGTATTTTCACATTAGTTTTTCCCTAATATTGAGGCCCATTAAAAATGTTATGGCCTTTAAATAATTAGGTTAAGCAGTTTTGTATGTAGTGTTACTCAGTGATCATTTTTGTAAAAAAAATTTATAGCCTTTAATTAGGGTAATCAGTTTTGTATGTAGTGTTACTCAGTGATCATTTTTGTAAAAGAAATTTCAGTTCAATGAAGTTTCAATTTTACCTTTTTTAGAAACACTTAAAATAATTTGAACTCTGTGTTGGGCACTGCACTGAGTTTTTGCCAACTACCTGCTATAAGAACTTTGTTTAGAATTTTAAGAACATATGAAGAAAAAGAAACGTTTGAATTATTCACGAAATTTATACTTTTAAGTTGTTTTGGTTTATTCACTCTGAAATATATTTCTATTAGTCATCAACAACATATAGTTTAGGTAGGGTGAATAGAAACAGTAGCAGCCTTGTTATAGCAAATATTTACATATGCAGATATAAAAATTTTACTGTACATATGTAAATGTAGATAGAAATCTAAAGAACATTAAATAAGAAAGGTATTTGAAATTAAGCATAATAGAGATAAAGGAAATATTGTTATCTGAAATGATGTCCACACATAAGTGACATAGTGATAAGTAGTCAAATTATTTTACTAATTCTATTATACAATTGAATCTTTTCAAAAGAGTAGAAAAGCTTTATTTTGTAGTTTGAAAACAATCAGATGTCTTTTTCAAAGTTGTTGACTTTTTACTTTTAAGATTTATTTTATTTATGCATACAAGAGTTGGGGTATAGGCCAGAGGTGTATGTGTGTGGTAGGGAGGGAGGATTCATCAGAGACAGAGTGTGGAGCAGAAAAAACAGATCTACTGAAATATACTCCTGAGGGGAGCCACGGGCAAGGGCAGAAGAGGTCTGCTGTGCCATGTAGGTTAGCTCCTTGGCTGGGGATCGAACTCATGCTGCAGTGGTTGGGGATGGCTTCTAGTGCTGAGACATAACCTGTTGCTCCATCAGGGAGGCACAGCTTTGCTGAGTTTAAATATGTATCACATTGGATGTTTTCATCTTGGCAGAATTGGTCCAGAGTATACAGTTTTCATATTATAGTTTGGCCTTTAGGTGGCAGCATTGTCTTTATATATTTCAGTGGCAACTTTTGTGACCTTGATCAAACTGTAGAGATAGAGTGCTTTTACATGGATTCTGCAGATGCTGTGGCTTATTTTAATTTTTGTTCTTTAGGTGATTTTAATTTCTTTGTAAAATAATTTGAAATATTAAGTAGTGGCTATTGTGATGAGGTGAACATTCTATTTTATGCACAGTAGGGAGATAAACTTTCCTATTTATGGCACTTGTGTAGTAAGTAATATAAATTTAAAAATAGGGAAGAATTTCTATGTTAGCAAATGAAGAAATTTTCTTAGAAATTGAGGACAGTGACATAACATTTATTTTTTGTTTTGTCTTTGTGTTAGTGCTGCTTTACAACACCATATATTTTGGGAGTATAGTTTACACCTCTTTCAACTCCTTTTTTAGCATACCATAAGCACCACCAAAGTACCAGTAATCCTTCATCACAGCGTATGGGAGCCCATTCACCTTTTGCTAACCCCCCTTTGGTAACCTCAGTTTTGCTGCCTTGACATTTTGGTGAGGCAAATAATTGAAGAACTTATATGTAAAATCTTCTCCAAAGAGAATAAGTTTCTATCTGAGTCATATTTGAGTAGAATAATGGCTGTATATGTGAATGTATTTTGTATTTGCTGTAAAACTATTTTAAATACTCTAGAAATTAATCTGGGAGAGTTCTTGGTAGAGAAAGTCCATCTTCTTATATACAGTTGTCTCTCTTCTATCAGTGATAGCCAGTAAAACATTGGCTACAAAGATATTTTTAAGTCATATTAGTATATGTGTGTATAATTACAAATGAACTGGAAACCCCCAGTTTCCTTCTGTTTCTCTACTTTTAGGACAAAGAAGCTTTTCAGGTATTTTACTGAGTTGTAAGATGATGGGGCTAGATAGACTATCTATATTGTTTGTTATCCAGTCTAATACTAGGGCTATATGACTTATTTTGAAAATAGTTTATATAATAAGTCCAAGGGTCAGCATATTTGTTATAGATCTGTAGCTGTTGTATGTATTTGGGCATTTTCAAAAACATTTTAAAAAGATTTATTTATTTATGCATACAAGAGTAGGGGTATAGACCAGATTTGTGTGTGGGTAGGGTGGGGTGGGGGGGGAGTAAGAGGATTCACCGAGACAGAGTGGGGAGTAGAACAAGCAGGGAGATCTATTGAAATACACTACTGAGGGGAGCAGTGGTCGGGTCAGGAGAGAGCTGCTGCCCCATGTGGGTCACCTCCCTTGCTGGCTGGCCTAGGGTTCTAATTCATGCTGCAGGGGGGCTACATAAAGCCTCACTGTGCTTTGCCTTAACTTGTTGCTCCGCCAGGGATGGCCCAACTTCTTCTTCTTTTTTAAGATTTATTCATTTATGAATACAAGAGCTGGGTGTATGCCAGAGGTGTGGGGGTCAGTGGGAGAGAGGATTCACCGGAGCAGAATGGGGAGCATAACAGTCACACTGACTGAAATGCACAGCTGAGGGAAGCAGGGGGGCAGATAAGAGAGGTCTTCTTGTCATATGTGGGTCATTTTCTGGCCAGGGATTGAACTAGTGCTGCACTGGCTCCTGACAGCTTAATAGTGTTGACGGAGACTTATTCCCTTGTACCACCAGGGAAGCTCAGCAAGTTCTTGCTTGTAAAGTTGTAAACTAGTATAGATTTTTGAA